AGTTCGCCAACCCACACTCCTTCATCTGTTGTCGTTCCTGTGTGAATCTTTTGGTATAAGGCTCTACTATAACCTGTCAACTGACTCACCAAAACTTATATTGAATTGTGCACACATCAATTATTAAGTTTATTTGATTCGTTTGTGTAGTTTCGCGTCTAGGCACTAGGTGAGTTGCGTCGGTTCCCTTGTTTGTTTTTTCGTAAACAAATGGTAAGGTTGTCCTACGCAATTCACTAGTCCACATTTAGGCCGCCGTCACGAAGAGGACTTCTGGCGCAGCACATTCTAAAAAAAAATCCGATTTCGCCTCACGGCCAAACGCCGCTGCTGAGGTTTTACACCTAATAACCTCTATGTGCATTCTACCACTTTAGACGCAAGAAATTAAGGATGCATTCGATTTGTTTGATGTGGACAAGACTGGTTTTATTGATACTAAGGACTTAAAGGTTGCCATGCGGGCACTTGGTTTTGAGCCGAAAAAGGAAGAAATTAAGAGACTTATTTCTGAATACGATCCCGAGGCTAAAGGTTCTTGCCATTCATTCAGCTTTAAAAAATTCCATAGGCCAACTAGCGTATGCAGATTTCCTTCGAATGATGTCTGTAAAGATGCAAGATAAAGATGCCCGGGAAGAAGTCCTGAAAGCTTTCCATCTCTTTGACGATGATGAAACTGGGAAGATATCGTTCAAAAACCTCAAGCGTGTTGCTAAGGAATTGGGGGAAAATTTAACCGACGAAGAATTACAGGTATTCCAATTAATTCCTATAATTTTCAGGAAATGATTGACGAAGCTGATCGCGACGGCGATGGTGAAGTTAATGAAGACGAGTTTTTGCGGATAATGAAAAAAACGAATATGTATTAACTTTCGAAATTGTTTGGTGAAAGCTTTGCTCCCTAACATTGACTTTATTTTAAACTTTGTCGTTTGTACATATCACTTTACTCGTTTTTATATACACTCTATACATTCCTTCGTTCACTAAATTGATCGTGTTCTCTACCGATCCATCCGTAATCTGCCTCTTAAGAATTGCCAACGACTGTTACCGAACCGGTTTAGCATTTGTTCCATTTTGTCAAGTATCGCGTCTCAGCAGGCGTGGTAACAAACGCAAAACTAAATTAAGTTTAGTTGAAAGTCGTCTCGCGATACCAACTGCTATATGCTTTTGAACGACAGAGGATAGAGTCCTAGGTGTTTGAAAAGAGGCGCGCCGGGATTACTTGACTTCGGCTCCTCTGTGTTGAAGTTTGGCCCTTCAGTGCCTCTTCACTCTTATACGTTAGCCGAAACCTTCAATCACTTGTTATATTGCTTAGGTCGGCTTTTAATGGTCATATATTCCAAATGGTTATGGGACTCACGGTCGTACGAATAGAGTCAAAGGTTCGCATCCCAGGTATTTGTCTAACAGAAGTCA